AAGTGATCAGTATCTTATGGAAAAGGTATGACCACGATCATGAAAACATCAGATGAAAATATTATCTGGCCCGATGATGGGAAAAATGAAAAAGTGGTCTCATGGAAAACTACATGACAGGAAATGTGGATCTGATTACTTTTGATATCAATAAGTTTATAGCCTTTGTATCCAAATGGGTATTTAAGGAAGACACAAACACGTGTTTGAGGTGAAAATTTGTGTCGCTGGTATGTAAGTGTGGAACTATAACATAAACATCCAAAAGAGCGCAAATGATTATAAGAGGGTTTCCACTTGTTTAAAAGCTCGAAAGGAGTTTTATTAGAAAGTAAAGGAAAAGAGAAGCGATTAATGATATAAACAGCAGTTAAGATACAATCACCCTCATAAACAAGTGGAATATTGGATTGAAAAATAAGAGCACGTGCAACATTCAAAATGTGTTGGTGGTTACGTTCCACAATAGAATTTTGTTGTGGAGTTTCAACTCAAGAATGATAAGGAAGAATGCTTTTAGACTTAAAAAATTAGTGAAACCTTAACTCGTGCATATTGTCAGACCTCACTAACTTTATAGGTCTTTTGTATTGAGTTAAGATAAATGTATAAAAATCAGGAAAAATAGCGGTAACATCAAATTTTTGGCGAAGGAGGTAAACCCAAGTGGTTCTAATACAATCATCAATAATAGTGAGGAAATACTTGTATCCCTCAATAGTGTTGACAGCAAAAGGGCCCCATATGTCAATGTGAATTAAATCAAATGCGTTCGGAGATAAATTATTATGTGATATGAAAGATAATTTTCTTTGTTTAACAAGAGGACAAATAGGGCAATGAAAAGGAGCATTTATCTGAACAACCGGAATATGTAAATCTTTATTTAAATATTGAAGCTTTACAAAAACCGGATGAGTAAATTTAAAGTGCCATAGGCTACATTTAGAATCAACATACTCGGAAACAACGGAATTACAAACAAATTTATTTGTAAGGAAATGATAAAGATTCCTAACTAGTTTACTTCTCCCAATCAACAAGCCCTGAGTAAGGTCCTGAATGACACACGAATCAAGTGAGAGATTAACTGTGCAATTATGAGTAGAAGTGAGCATGCTAACGCTTATGAGATTAAAAGTAAATACGGGAATAAATAGCACATCAACCAATGTAAGAGAAGCTGTCAAAATAATATTTCCTACTTGATTGACTGTCACTAAGCTACCGTTAGGCAAATTAACAGGAAAATGTTCAACATGCTTAAGTTTTGTGAATAAATAGTGGTGGTAGCAAGTGTGGTGGGTGGCTCCAGTGTCAAGAATCCATATGTGGGTGTTGGGTAAGTGTGTAAATAGAGATAAACAGAAGGGAGAGGTAAGTATACCTGAGATGGTGGAAACAGACGATGCAATCGAGTCAGAGCCGGAGGCAAAATCCGGAGGAATGGAGGCATAAGGCGTAGCATGGAGACGCGTGCTTAAATGGGCAATAATGTCCTGCATTTAATCTGTGGTGAGAGCCATAATAGAGGCGGCGGAGTTGGAGGTGGCAGACGGCACGCCGGTGAAACCAGTGGGAGCAACAGTGGAGGAGACATGCGAAGAAGAAGAAGATTATAACCCAACGGATTTTAGTGAACACCTAGTTTGTGAAGATCCACGCTGTTAAGCTTTAGTGGTAGCATATGGGTCGGATGTGCCTTTAGATTTGGACCAATAGTCAGGCGGGTACCCATGTAGTTTATAACATCGGTCCACTACACGGCCCAGAAGCCCACAATGGGTACACATGGGCCTTCTTCTTTTTCTCTGTGCTAGGGCAACATTGGTAGATTCTATTGCACCGCTGAATGCCTTTGTTCCAACGGTGTTTTTGACAACCCGATGTCTCTCCTCCTGGATCATGAGACTGAAGACTTTCGAGATGAAAGGAGGTGTTTCCATCATGAGGATTTGGCTCTGTATGGATGTGTAAGAATTGTTGAGTCCCATTAAGAAGAGCATGACGAATTCCTTCTCCATATAATCATTCCAGGCTTTCATTCCTCCACAACCGCATACCGGAGCTCGCTGGTAAGTTTTAAGTTCGTCCCACAATGTTTTCATTCTCGTATAGTAGCTATTAACATTGATGGCCCTTTACATTGAGCTATTCATCATTTGTTTTAGCTGAAAAATGCGAGGGGCGTTGCTTTGTTGAAACCGGTCACGGAGGTCGACCCACATTGCCCGCGCGCTATCAAGGTGGAGGAGACTGTCTGCTATATCTTTTGCCACAACATTGAAAAGCCAGGAGAGAACCATGTTGTTGCAGTGGAACCATGCCCCTGCCATAGGATCTGTCTTAGCTAGTTGAGCAATAGATCCATCCACGAAGCCAAATTTATTTTTGGCGTTCAAAGCGACGCGCATCCCGTGCGACTTGTTCCCATTCAGTGTGTGAGATACCAACGTAAGCTCAGGATGATCTGAGCTATGAAGAAAAAATTTGTTATGGGTTTCATCTAAATGAGTGTTTTGTGAGGTTTGGGTAGTCTGTGAATTTTGGGTTGAAGATGCCGCCAACGGCTGAAATTGATTATGTGATGAGGAGCCACCACCACCTCTGGCTATAGTAGCTTAATGAGGTGTAGCGAAAATAGTAGGAACTTATAGTTCTTATATCATATTAGAAAATGAAATAAATAATGAATTTAGAGAAGAAAAATTCTCTTAATTTATGTATATTGATATTTGAATGTATGCTATTTATATACAAAGTAAAAGGCTAAACTAGAAAATTACATGTAGTTGGCTATAACAGAAAAATGATAGCAAATTTGATAATAGAAAAAACAAACAATTAATTCTAATAGATTTTAAGAAAAAAAAAATATGTTTTTAAAGTTAAAATAATTAATATATTTCTAATTATTTATTCGCTTATAAATTTTTATTTTTTAAAATATTAATAATATATTTTACCGCATAATATTTTTATTTAAATACATGAAAATAAAAAAAAGTAGTTAGTAATATCAAATTTACTACAAAAGATAAATAATAATAAAAATTTTCCTAATTGAATAATATTTTGTATTTTTATTATACTAATTGAAATAAATTTAAATAGAAAAAAATTATTTGTAGTTTTATACTTATTTTAATTGGTAAAATGTGAAACTTATTACCATATAATAAAGTTTAGTGTATATTTGAAATATTATATGTCTGATTTTCATAATATTTTAATTAAAATAAATATAAATTTAAAAGTAAATTATATATGAATTTTATTTTTTATAATAATAAAACACTTGAAGACCGATCGGCTACATTGAGCCGACCCAAGCCGCCGCCTGACAACACAAAACTCAACGTGCTTACGCGTAAGCGATTGGCATTGGCTTTGGCCTGTTAACAGATTTCCTACATAAATAAATAAATAAATAAATAAATAACTTAATTAATTAATCACACACCAACTAACACAAAAAAAAAATATATATATATATATAAATACGGTAAATTAAATAATTGAACTAATTACTTCTATTTAATGGATACCTTTTTACACAGAAAAATTAATATTTTTTCTTTTAAAAGTAATATATATCCAAAAAAAGCCAGCCTGAAAAAGGTCACTGCTCACTCTCTTTCCCTCTCCTTCTCCCTTTCTCTCTCTCTCTCTCCTTCTTTCTCTGAGTAAATCTAGGTGGTTTCCCAAGAAAATCAGGCGAAGAGATCGGCAGGAAGAAAGTTCGATGAGTTGCCGGCAAAATTATGCGGCAATGCGCAGCTCAGGGGGCTTGACTGTGTTAATATCTATTGTTGTTTTGCTTCACTCCCAGCTAGCTTTGGTCTCAGCTCAGGGATCTACCACTGCTAGTCCCTGGAAAACACTTAGCGGTAAGTGGCTTGTCTAGCTCTAGTCTGTGTTCAGACTATTGCTATCTCCTTGCTGAGGATGAGCTGAGAAATATATGAGAAAATGTGTTCTGCTTCATTTTATTCTTTTTTCTCGACCGCTTCATCTGGATTTTTCTCGTGTTTTTGTTGGATCTTTTTTGGTCTTCAGCTGTAGTTGCTGAAAATTAGTTGAGGAATAAATGAGAAAATGCATTTTGGTTCCTTTTCTTTGGATTATCTCGTTTCATGAGCTTTTTTAAAGTTTCCAGTTGCTGCTACTGCTTAGTTGCTGAGAAATTACCGGGAACATCCTAGAAAATGGCTTGCTTCCTCATTTTCTCTTCATATTTTTCTTTGGATATTTGTCATGTTTCTCATAAATTCTTTGTTTAAAGTTGTTTCTGCTTGGTTAATTATAAAATGAAGGACAAAGTTAGAAAATGGAGAGGGGAAAATGAGAAAATGCAGAGCTTCTCTCAAGTTTGAACTTGATTCGGTCGATACTCATCTTTATACCCTTTTGCGGGTTCCCAAGCAATTAATTTGGTTTCACGCTTCTATTAGGAAACTATCTTTCTTCTCTTTTTTGTTTGCTAGATATGTCGAAGAATTTTGGAATTTAAGATTTCAGTTTAGTTTTTCCCCTTGGACGATTAAAAGAATCATGCAATATTATTTCCTATCTTGATGGATTGAGAAACTGAAGTTTCGGTTTTATTTTGTCTTTTCATTTCCCAACAATTTTTGGTTGCTGTGGTTTTAAAAGATCCATAGCTAATGATGCGTCCGTCTGGTTGCTGTACTCTTATTAGTAACTGTGATACAATAATCTGTATTTTCATCAAACTCACATGTTGATCTCTCTTTGCAGGAAATCCTCCTCTAGTTATAGCACGAGGTGGGTTTTCGGGACTGTTTCCGGATTCTAGTTATGCAGCTTATAGTCTGGCATTGTTGACTAGTGTACCAGATGTTATCCTATGGTGTGATGTGCAATTAACAAAAGATAGAGCTGGAATTTGCTTTCCTGATCTTAAGCTGAATAACGCTTCTGATATTTCAAATATTTTCCAGAATCGGGATAAGACTTACAATGTTAATGGGCTTCCTACTCAAGGGTGGTTTTCTGTGGATTTTACCCTTAAGGATCTGGCTAACGTTGTCTGTAAGTTTAATATCTTTATTAAGTTCCATTTTGTGTCGCAAGCAGAATGGGGAAGTTAGATAGGTTACAAACTATTTTGGTGCATTAATGCCATATTTAGTTCCTCTTATTCGGTTGAGGCGTTTTTAGTTATTTTTTTGTAACCATGAAGCTGCCTGATTGTCCATGTTAAAAGTATGCTTTGAATATTGCTGTTGCATCATTCTTTTCAAAAAATTTTCTTATTAGCTGGGTGATATTTAGCTTGCCATGGCACCACTCGTGTAATTGACTAATTACTTTCTCATTAGGATGTACCTGAACTTGTGATATCTAAATCGCACGTTAAAATAATGTGTTTGTTGAGCTATATATGAGGGCTCAATTAACACAATATTAATTACTTGAGTTAAGCTTTTGAACACCGAGTATAAGGGTTATTGGGTTGATGGTTCTTGAGCCCCAAAATGATATGGGGGGTATCATAGCACATACTTGTAATTTGAAAGTTATCGGGTTAATGGTTCTTCGTCCAAGACATTAGATAACTAGTTATCAAATCACAAAACTGAAGAGGCTCAAAATGTTGCTTTGACCATTCTGATTTTATGAAGTTGTGGAGTTTTGTAATGTTTTTATTGTCCCTTGATTAGTTATGAAGCTTGCTGCTGAATATTGTGCAATAATCTATCTGCTTGCAACAAGCCATCTGAAATGTTATCTTCTAATATCATTCTGATTTTATGATGTTGTGGAGTTTTGTAATGTTTTTGTTGTCCCCTGATTAGTTATGAAGCTTGCTGCTGAGTATTGTGCAATAATCTATCTTCTTGCTACAAGCCATCTGAAATGTTATCTTCTAATATTATCTCACACATCTATCTTACCTTGCCAGTAACTCAAGGAGTCTTTTCACGCACTAATAAGTTTGATGGCAATCTATTCAAAATTATGACTGCTCAAGAGGTGTTTAACCAATTCAAACCACCAGGTTTTTGGTTAAATATTCAAGTAAGTAATAGGTTTATAAACTCCTTTATGCAATAGATTTTCTTATTTCTTTGTGATTTCCTTTCCTCATGTTTCCCCATTGTCTGCAAGTTGCAATATTACTCTTCCCTTCTGTTTTTAACTAACGTTTTCTCTCTCATACTTTTCAGCATGATGCATTTTATGCACAACACAATTTGAGCATGAGAAGCTTTGTACTGGCTGTTTCCAGAAGTGTAATTGTTAGTTATATCTCATCTCCAGAGTTGGGTTTCTTGAGGGGCATTGCGTCACGCTTCAATCCAAAAGTGACAAAACTCGTCTTTCGATTTCTTGGAAAAGATGAGATTGAACCTTCAACCAACCGGACTTATGGGTCTCTCTTGGGTAACCTCACTTTTATCAAGACATTTGCCTCAGGAATTCTTGTTCCGAAGGCATATATATTACCAGTTGATGCAGCTTCTTACTCATTACCTCCAAGGCCCCTTGTCCAAGATGCTCATAAAGAAGGGTTAGAAGTTTTTGCATCAGATTTTGCGAATGATGTTCCATTTAGCTTCAACTACAGCTACGATCCGGTAACAGAGTCGCTATCTTTCATTGACAATGGAGAATTCTCTGTTGATGGTCTGCTGTCTGATTTCCCTATAACTCAATCAGAGGCCATTGGTAAGTTACTTCTCATGTCTCCCTCACAGAATGAGCATTTTTGTATATCTTACACTATTGGTTACCAAAAAAGCTTCCAGTTAACTAAAAATTAATGCTCAATTAGGTTTTAGCAATTTGTGTAGGCCAGAAAACTCAGAATTGGTTATCTGGGTTTAGCAAATTGGGAAATATTCCTGGCTTCCGGGACCAAATTAATTCCTTATCGAGACGTTTATAAAAAACACAAAACTCAGAAGTTGACAGTGGACCTTTTTAGTCTAGTGTCTTGAGCCTATAGATTACGGACATGGCTCCTGTCAGGCTATTATGTACCTGTAAGTTACTGCATTTGTTGGAAGATTTTCTTTTTGTTTTCTTAGAATTTGAACAACTATAAATATTTGTTGCATAAGGCAGCATTTGGTGTGCTTCTAGAACATAACAGAACAGAAAAAAACATCTCTAGATTGGACTGGATAATGAAAAATGAAGTGTTTAGTGAACGCAAATTTGGATAGAATAACACAAGTAAATTTACTTTAATAACTTGCATTATTTAACTTTTGCATTGTATTTTAGTTGATCTAAAATTAATTAATGAATAATAAATTAATATGTTAATTAATTAATTCTTAACTAATACAATCTTAGTGAAGTTTAAATTATTAAAATTAAATTAAAATTACAAAATAAAATAGTTAAACTTAATATTGTTGGACTTTTACTTTAATAATGGTCCTGAGTGTTTATATGAAAAAGATGTTTGAACTCAATTTGGAAATTCAAACTTCAACTATTATAGAAATTAAAGTTAAAATTAACAGAAGATAATAGTTTGACATTAAATAAGAAGAGTGACAAACCAAACTTCAAATACTATAGAAATTAAACTTAAAATTAATAAAAGATAATAATTTGCATCAAATAAGGAGATCGGGAAGAGGGATAATGATAGAGAGGGGAGGAGTACTTTAGGAAAGTAATACTTATTGCGGCAACAACTTTGTTCTGCCATTTTTTACTAAGAAAGTTATTCCAAAATTTAGTAGTTCTTGTACTGTTCAATTCCCATGTTTTTGCTACAAACAAAGGACTGGAATCTATTGTTCTGGTCACTTCTACCCCACATTAACAGATGCTACCTAATATGCAACTTTTATACATAATTTTCTGTTGAACCATGCTTAAACAAACATAATTTTTCATTGACCTAATTTATATTGTACTAGAGATCTTTCCTTTGAGATGCTGACTTATTCTTTCTACTTCAGATTGCTTCTCTCATCTGGAGAAAAATGCATCAAAACAAGGTATGGAACTATTCAGAATTGGTATTGAATTGTTTATTCAGATGGTAAAATAAATGAACATTTATGTCAACTAGTTTCTTTATTGTGCTCATGTTATAGTGGACCTTCGGGTTATTTCTAAAAATGGAGCAAGTGGAGATTTCCCTGGCTGTACAGATTTTGCATACCAAAAAGCTATATCAGATGGCGTTGATTTTCTTGACTGTTCTGTCCAGATGTCCAAGGATGGGATTCCATTTTGTTTAAGCTCTATAAATCTTATAGACAGCACAACAGTTATCAATTCCCCTTTCCGCAATCTCACGCAAAGTATTCCAGAAATTAAGCCAGGCAGTGGAATATTTACCTTTAACCTTACATGGTCTGATATTCAAACTCTAAAACGTAAGTTGATTTTTTCCTTTCAGGTTTTCTTCTTTTTTGGGGAATGACATTCTATATTATCTCATAAGTGTAAATTATGGGAACATAGTGCTCTGAACAGCATGCTTAGTGATAACTAAATGGAAAGGGCAGACAGAAATCGCTTTACATCATACAAGAAAAATGAAAAAGTTTGCGAAAACAAAGATGCAAACAAATAAAAAAATGAAAAATTCAGGTTAGAAAGAGTGGTGCTACGCAGACAAGTATCGTTTTAACATAAAAGAAAACTTGTATCCATAGCCATGGATAATGGATCGGTCACACATTAGAGAGAGAGCTCCAAACAAGGGATCCAAAGGAAGAGTAAGAAACTAGGTTACTATCATCCAATAAAATAAAAAATGTTGCAGAGAAAAGTTGATTGATTGATACTACCAATTGCAGCCACCCATCTTTAATCGGCTAAACATGTGTGTAGGTCTAGCACATCCAAGAATGAAACAATGCAGGCTGAAACAAATGCTGAAAATTTGAAGGAAACACAGAAGAATTTTAGGGAGGGAAAATGAGTAATTTTTGCATGTAACAATGGTTTTGAATGGTGTGAGTTTAGGGCCTCATCTTAAATACATGGATTCTGTTTTGAACTATCGCATATGTTTTAAGCAAAATGAATAGGATACTAATTGCGAGAAGTCATTCATTTACAGCAATGAAATTGAAACCAGTTTCATTTCCATTTACTTGTTTGTCTACTGTAAAAATTTCTGCTTTTCAATTCTCATTGTAGCATGTCAATGGAATAGGTGTATAACTATGTATAAACTTGTATTGAATGAACTTTTAACTTCTTGGATCTATGGATTGTTTATTTCTGCTGCAGCGGAAATTTCAAGCCCATATTCAGGATTCAAATTGTCCAGGAGTCCGAAGAACAAAAATGCTGGAAACTTTTTGACCCTCTCTGATTTTCTTGCTTTGACAAACAGCAGTAGCTCTCTTTCTGGCATCTTGATCAGCATAGAGGTGAGTTTTCTTTGTTACTGCATTCCTAGTTTGAATTCTTGGGTCTCTGCACCAAAAGTCAACATTGTAGATGCTGAATACGTACTCTTGTTGCATTAGTTTTCATCATCCAGTTAGATCATTGTATACATGAAGTCGATGGATGGCTGTTTTGAGATACATTTTATGTGGGAGGAGAAATGAACTAGTGAAGAGTATGTTTAGTGTATGGGAGGAAATGGTATGGAGGAATGTGATAATCTTAGATATCCGGCCTTAAAGTTCGCAGTTTTTTTATTTTTCCATTATGGAGTAATGTGATAATCTAGATATCCTGCGTAAAGTTCTCAGTTTTTTTATTTTTTCCATTATTATCAATTGCTAAAAAAACATAAAATTTCTCAGAACAAAAAAAGAGAGAAAGATAAAAGGTGGGGTTGGGTTGGACTTTAGCCAGAATGCCATAAACATGAGCTTTTCACAGCATTGATTTTGTTTTCCCCATAACATTGTGCTTATCAAATTCTTTCATGTGATGCTTATGTGTCCAAATGTCCTATTATAATATGTTTAAAGATGGCCTCTAGGAATATGAAAATGCTGTTCTGTCATCCAGTGCTGATGACCTGACTTCTCTAAGTCTTGTTGACTCCATGTGCTGCTGGGTGGAGTGATGTTTGTTCCCCTTGGTGATATAGTTATATAAAGGCTAAAATAATGATTTGGTCCTTTACTATTTATTTTTGTTTTAATTAATCCCCGTCTTAATTTTCTGTCAAATTAGTTCCTTTACTCTTAAAAAGTTTTTATTGACTCGTGGTACCAAAGTTACTGGTGTCAACTTTTATTAACAGAAATATAAGTAAATTGAAAACTTTTCAAAACTACGTAGCACTTTTTTATTGGTTTAGTGTTAGTTGAATGCTATGTTAGATGTTACATGGCAGATGACATGACATTGACTAGTTTAGACCATTCTACAAATAAGCAAAACCCAACCGCTGGATTGTTGCACAAAAACGGAAGAGAGGAAAGTGAAAGCTCGGTTGGCTTCCTCTATTCTTTCTTCATTCTTTTTGATGATCTCTATCTCTCTATTAATCTCTGCATAAAATGAAGCCCTAAAACTCCTCTTCTCTCTCACTCTCTGTGTTATTAGTTGTCCTGTTTCTCCACTAGCAGAACCATGGATGATGCATATACTGAGGTCGCAGGAGTGACGCCATCACCTGTCTGTCAAAGAAACTCCATAGCAACGTCGGTGGTGATACCCACGAGGTTTATAGTCGCATTGCTGAAGCCCACCCGCTCCCTCAACCTTCTAAATGGCATTGCAATCTCACTCCCACCACTGCCACCACTTTATTTCAAGCTTATTTTACTCAAAACATTACAGGCCTATACTTCCCTCAAGGACCTCCCCTTTGCCTCCGTCAACTCTCTGACTTTTGCCTCCGCTTCAGCCTTTGAAATCTCCATCTGCAACCGCCTCATCAAACCACATCTGCATTCCATGTGTTTGCATATATATAAATATATATTTAAAGCATTTTTTTTTTAAATTTTTGCATCGGTCTGGACCTATCCACATCCAAAATTTTTTTAATGCCACATTGGCGTCTAATATGACATTCAATTAACATTTGGATCAAATGCTATATGTTAATGAATCTGACACGTGACACTTGTTAACGGTGTTAACTTTTATTAATGAGGGAAAAGACTAAATAATAAATTTTTTTTCAGAAGTACAAGGACTAATTTAACTGGAAGTTGAGTCAGTGATTAATTTGAACAAAAATAAGTAGTACAGAAACCAAATCACTATTTTAGCTGTTATATAATATATGGTTGCCACCTCCCATTTCCCCCCTTCATGAATACAGACTAGGGCAGCCTCTTGAAATGTTAGAAGTGGTGGTTGTTTGTTTCTTGCATGCATGATCAACAGTCTTCATGAGTGGATAAAACATGTGTCATTCGTGTGGATGTCCCATCTGCCAAGAATCTCATTTGTTTTTAGTAAAGAAATATATATCATCTGGGCTTGATGCCAGAATTTGGTGGAGATAAATGAAAATTCTGATATCTGATTGGTCAAGAACTTTATACACTTCTGGTAATATATTTACTAAGAACTTTCTGGTCATACTATTCATGTTTCAACAAATGGAAAATGGAAGATTGCTCACCTCTTGCTTTCCTTGTTAATGAATCTTCTTATTTTTCAGCATGCAGCCTATCTTGCAGGGAAGGGACTGGGGGTAATTGATGCAGTACTTGATGCCTTGAAACAAGCTGGTTATGATCAAACTCCTCAAAAAGTTATGATTCAGTCCACGGACAGTTCTGTCCTTGTGGAATTTAAGGAGAAAAGCAAGTATCAACTAGTTTATGAAGTCGATGAAACTATTCGTGATGCTGTAGACTCGGCTATAGAAGATATCAAGAAGTTTGCTGATCATGTTGTTGTGGCAAAAAGATCGGTCTTCCCTCAAAATTCGGCATTCCTAACTGGTCAAACAAAGGTTGTAGAAAGGTTGCAGTCGTCTAAGCTCCCAGTCTATGTGCAACTCTTCAGCAATGAGTTTATCTCTCAAGCGTGGGACTTTTTCTCAGATGCAACAGTGGAGATCAACTCGTATGTAATGGGAGCTGGCATAAGTGGTGTCATCACAGATTTTCCCAAGACATCAGTTAGATTTCGAAGTAAGTATCTCCTTCCACAGGGACTTTCTGCTTAAATAATTCTGTCACACACGGTCTTTTTAGGTTACACAACTATGAAGCAGCATTCATGTTTTTTGTTTTATCTGATTCTAGGTTTAGTGTTAGTTATATACCTGATTTGAATATTTTCAGAAGAAAAATAGTGGAATAGGGCTATTTTATCAGTTTTGGTATATAGCTTGCAATTTTGAGGTCAGCAGAGCTGTTGCTTGTTACTTTTTATGATGATGACACCCTGTTCTTTCACCGTATTGGTTTTGGTCTTTTTATGGGCATTGATATTCCAATCAAGCTGTCTTTTTAATCTTACCAATTCTTTATGTTCCAACCTTTTGCAGTAAATAAATGTTTGAATCTGGGCAATGATACGCTCTATATGAGCCTGTCAGCTGCCAGCTCGTGCAATTAGTGACTCCGGAGTACTTACCACCAGCCCAGGCTCCGGCTGATATACTCATGGATTCTGATGTTGCAGAATCGCCATTTCCCCCTGTTGCAAAAGTTCCATCATCCAGCCCATCCAACAGGACGGCTTCATCACCTTCAACACAGCCTAATGCACAGCCTAAACTTGCCACCGGCATCTTGCTCTCTAGTGTAGCGCTGCTTCTTGCCATTCTTCTACTGTTTTGATACTGTAAGATCACCTTACTCTCTACTCGTGATCTTTGGACCTTTTGTTTCTTGTGTCTTCTCGCATGGTTCTCGGGTGGCTTGGAGCTTTTTGCTACATGACTACTTGCGGCTAATCCAAATTTTTTACCACCGAACAGCCACGAATTATTTTGTGTCATAGTGTAGGTATTATTGTTCATTCTTCCCCATGTATTTTCAAACCTATATTTATTTATTGTTGAGAGGTAAAAGGTCATGATTTGGTGATTATTGAAAGATATGTCTTTTATTGTTATTCTTTGGCATTTGTGATTTTGCGAGAGTTTCTTTAAAGCTTGAGCCACAGGCCCCACATGCACCCATGACCTTGTTTTTCCTTCTTTCTCTCCTCTGTTTATGGTTTACAGATGAAAAATTCTTGTATTATTGATCCGTACATTTTGTCGAGTATTCTTTAGTTGTTTAACATATTTCCTGTAGCTTTTAAGTCGTCTGATGGATTTTTATCTCGTTCCTATATGAAATTTAGATTAAATTTATTTTTTGTTTCAATTAATTTATATGAGTAAGTGGGATCTGAGAGGAATTGATTCAATACCTTGTTGTTTTTAACAGAATATGAAAAAAATTAACAGAATATTTAAGATTGTTACAAAATATATTTTTTCAAGTAAAACAGGCAAAAAAAATAGTATATTAAATTAATTATTTATTTTTTAATTAAAATATTATTATTACAACACAATCTCTCTTTTTTTTTTTTTTTTTTAAATCTAAATGCAAAACTGTGTATTTTCAAAATCAATAATAAAAATGCAGTCAACAGAAGATAATGAGCAGTACAAGTGCAGGAATTGAGTCAGATAATTAATTATTTAAAAAAGTTTATTTTGCTCTTAAAATATTTATTAAAATTTTAAAAATATTTATTTAGAATACTAATTAATATATATTAAAAATACAACTGCTATTAATTAAATTAGATTATAAAATTCAATTAAAGAAATTTAATAAATTTTTTTTTTGTAAAAAAAATCTTTATATAGAAGCTTATTACAAAATTAGACATTTCCGCTGTAGTACAACTGTGCAAAACCGTGCACGGCCGAGCTGCTAGCTGGAGCTGAGACAGAGGCCGGGACCTGACAGTAATCTAAAACTCTTACGTGCTTACGCCGCGTAAGTAATGACTGAAAAAGGTCCTTGCCTTTTCTCTCTTTCTTTTTCGCTAAATCTCGTTCGTTTCCCGGGAAAACCAGAAGAAGAGATTGCGGCCAGAGAGTTCGATGAATCGCATGCGAGATTGTACGGCAATGTGCTTATCTATTGTTGTTTTGCTTTACTCGCTGCTAGCTTTGGTCTCAGCTCAAGGAATGGCCACTACTCGTCCCTGGAAAACACTTAGCGGTAAGTGACTTTTGCTAGTTCTGGTCTCTTTTCAGGTCAGATTGCAGAGATAGTTGAGAAAAATAGGAGAAATTGCATTCTGCTTCATTTTCTTTTCTTCATCGGTTCCGATGGATTTTCTGGTGTTTTCTTAGATTTTTTAAGCTGTTATTGCTACGCGATTGCGGAGAACGAGTTGAGGAATATGTCTGTTTCTGTGCCTATTCTCGTGTTTTAGTTGATTCCAACTGCTGCTTCTGCTCTTTTTGCTGACGATGAGTCCAGGAATTTGCGAGAAAATGCTTTGTGGTTCATTTTCTTCTCATCTGTTTCATCGGATTTTTGTCCTGTTTTCTTCGACTCTTTGTTTACAGTTGTTGCTGCTTGATTTTTTATAAATGGCGTGGAGAAGACGATGAAATGCAAAGTTCCTCTCAAGCTTGGACTTAATTTGGTTGATGTTTTTTTTAAAACCTGTTTCGGGTTAGCTGAGCAGTTTTCTCATCCTTCTCATTTCTATTTTTGCTAGATATTGGAAAGAAATCTGAAATATGAGGTTTCAGTTTCATTTCTTTTATGTCTCACTTTAAACTGATTAATAAAATCAGGCAGTTTTGTATCATAGTGTTGAAACTCCTCTTGATTTTACAATATTAAATTCAAATAAATGGGGCTTTCTCGTAGCATGACATTTTTTTTTAAATAACAAATATAATACTAAAAAAACACAAAGAGGGTTCAACCTGTGTACCCAAGGTACACAAGTCATGTCAATCAAATTTCCCAAATCCTCACTCGTGCAGAAAGGAAGATCCTTAATAAAAAAATGCTTAGTCCTGAAATCACGTATCCTTGATCCTATCAAGTGACTATTGTATGCCCTCAAAAATTATTTTATTTCTTCATTTTCATTTGACCCTCAAATGGTAGCCAAAGGAGTAAGGCCTAAACTCTTTTCTACCCATATCTCCTCTTTTATCGATCCTGCCATAACCCAATTTATTCCATAAGACTATAAGCAAAACACAAAAGCCAATAGGAGAAAGGGCAACACAAAGCAGATGGTTTACATATTCTGCAACTTTCTTGAATAAGTAGCTGACTTTTCCTCCAATTGATCAGATTGTCTACAATAAGGATGCAACCTCATGCCGTCTCGCAGGCAAAAAAAAAAAGAAGCTATTCTTAGGGATGTCTTGGCATTTTTGATCAGTTTCCATGGGAAATCTTGATTTGTCCTTCCACTTGTGGTCAAATGAGAGAAATAAGATTTCACAAAGAATAGCCCTTTAAGTTTTAAAATCCATTCATCCAGGGCTTCTGAGCCCATTGAAACAGAAACTGAAATTGATTTGTATATTAAGTCACCTCCAAATCATTGAAATTCCTTAACAGAGCCATTGACCAGGTTCCATTGTCCTCTGAATTCTAGAAGGATTCTTCATTGCTGCCTCTTTGTTGCAAGCCAAAAAGAGAATTATGGGCAAACGATGATCTGGTTTACCAACCTCCATCCATTTGTCCAGCCAAAACCTCACCATTTGGCCCAAGTCCAACATTTTAGCTTTAAATTTCTAAAAGATCTTTGAAGAAAAAATGTATTACTTTTTATTTCTTATTCTTTGTGTTTACACTTAAGATATATACATGGAATTATTCTTATTTTAGGAGAATTCTAATTACATTATATTACTTTATTATTAAAACTTTAAATAATAAAATATCTTATTTAACATAATATCCTAATTAACATGGAATCTTTATCAACACTCTTTTTCAAGTTGGTGCGAAATATCACATATACCCAACTTGTAAATCAGATTTTGGAGAGATTTATTGTATAGCCCTTTAGTGAAGATATCTGTCATCTGATCATCAGAACATACATGATATAAGCATAAGGAACCATCAACCACTTTCTCTTTTATGAAGTGTCAATCAATCTTAATGTGTTTTGTCTTATCATGTTGAACTGGATTATGGGTAATTTAATGACTGTTTTATTGTCACAAGACTGAGATAGTTTCTCCACTTTAAGCAATTTTAATTTATTAGTTTTTGCAACCATATTAATTCACATATTATTTCACCAATTGCTCTATATTTTGTCTCAGCATTGGAGTGGACAACAATATTTTGTTTCTTGTTTTTTTATGTAACTAAGTTGTCTCGTATGAGTGTGCAGTAACTTGTAGTTGATCTTGTATCATCCAGAAACCAGCCTAATCGACATCTATAAATACTTTTATTTTAAGGTGACTATATTGGAAAGAATATACATTTTTCTGGTGCAAATTTCAAGTATCGTAATATACAAAATACAATATGTAAATGAATGTCATGAGAATCATGCATGTACTGACTCATCAGACTAACTGTATATACTATATATTAGGTCTGGTATGTGAGAGATAAATGAGTTGTCCAGCTAATTTTTGATATCTTTTCAAGTCAACTGATGTACCACTACGTATTTGTAGTTTATGATTGCTCTCAATAGAGATTGCCGGTTCATTCCAATCTCTTCTGACAAGTGTAGGATATACTTTTTTTGAAAAATGAAGATTTTTTTATTAGATCTGACAACTTCAATTCCCAAGAAGTATTATAATTTTTTTATATATTTTATTTCAAACTCTTAAGTAAAAAGTTTTTTTAGTCAAATCATCTCCTCTGTATCATCTACAGTTACTATAATATCATTTACATAAACAATAAAAAAAGTGACTTTAATATCACGATGTTTGATAAATAGAGTATGATCAGTATTGCTTTGTTGATATCCAAAAAATATTACAGTTCTTCTAAATCTTTCAAATCATGCTCTTGGAGATTGCTTCAATTCGTATAATATTTTTTTTAATTTACAAACTTTTCCTTGCGTCCTCTCATCTTCAAATTCAGGTAAAATTTTCATGTGTATCTCTTCCTCTAAGTATACATGGAGGAATGCATTTTTTATATAAAACTGTTGTAGATCCCAATCAAGGTTTTAGCTGCATAAGAAAAAAGTATTTTAATTGTGTTCATCTTCGCAACAGATGTAAAGATCTCTTGATAGTCAATTATATAAGTCTGAATAGATTCTTTAACCACCAATCTAATTTTGTACCTTATAATCGATCCGTCTGCTTTGTGTTCTACAGTGAGCACTCATTTACAACTAACTATCTTCTTTCCCTGTGGAGTAAAACAAGTTTCCATGTTTCAATTTTTGTCAATGCTTTCATTTCTTTAATTATGGCTTCCTTCATCTTGAGATCTCCTAGAACTTCTCTCTAATTCTGTAGAATAAACACAGAGGAAACATATAAGACAAAACCTTTATAGGAGAGAGATAAAGAGTCATAAGAAACAAAGTTAGATATAAGATGCTTAGTACAAGTTCTCGTTCCATTTCTAATAGTAATAGGTTTATCTGATAAATCGCAAAAGAAAGATAACTCACAATTATTTTCTGAAACCAGGGAAGATTCTTAATCTAGAACAGACTGCATGATGGGATTTTCCTTGAATATTTTGTCTCTCTTTGAATACTTTTTCAAGTTTGGTTTATCCAAACGTCCAACATTTTCTTCTTGAGTAAGACTTTCTGCAATATAATTCTCTCCCTGAATATGACTATCAAGTCTTACCTAATTGGGTATCACCTCTTTCTTCTCACTCTTCCCCTGAAGGGGTATTGGATTTGAGTTGAAGTAAGACTCGGTTTTCTTAAAGGTAATATCCATAGTTACAAAGTATTTTTTATACGATGGATGATAACACTTGTACCATTTTTAGGTAACAAAATATCCAATAAATACACACTTAAGAGTTTTATGTTCTAGTTTATCCATATTTTTATCATAAATAAAGTACACACGTTTAAACACTTATGGGAGAATAATGTAGAAATTTTTTCTTACAAAACTTCCATAGAACTTTTAAAATGTAAGATTCGTAAAAATATTCTATTAATAAGATAAGCAGTTTAGAGAATTGTATCTCTCCAATAACTTTTTGATAGATTTATGGTGAATATTACCTTGCTATCTCCGGTGTGTCTATTTTTTCTTTCAGCAACTTCATTTTGTTTAATAGTGTCGACACAACTTGTCTGATAAATTATCCTATTTGACTCCAAATAAGCATGAAACCCACTATCTATATATTTTATATCATTGTCAGTTCTCAAAATCTTAAATTTAGTACTAAACTGTGTATATATCATTTTATGGAACGATTGAAAGAATGAAAATACATTACCTTTTGCTTTTAATAGATAAATCCATGTTAATCTAGTATAACAGTTAATAAAAATAACAAACCTTTTATAACTAGATAGAGAGATATTCTGAATAAGTTGCTACATATCAGAGTGAATAATTATAAAAAATCAATACTTTTATTATTACTTAAATAATAGGAGCTCATTTTATATTTAGCAAATTCGCATGTATCACAAATTAAAGAATACATAGAAGTTCTTTTACATAAAATATGACATAATTTTTCTAAAACAAAAAATGCATTTTCATATTGACTTTCTTATTCTCAATGATGACTTGACTCCCTATTAAGTTCTAGTTTTTATCCAAGATAAATAAGCCATTTTACAGTATACTAGTGTTAATCTTCTTTTCGGTTTGAAAATTATGAGAAATACAATAATTAGAAAAAATATCAACTTTACAATTGAGATCTCTAGTGATGACACTAATAGATAAAAAATTGTCAGAAAAATTAAGTACATATAAAACTGAAAACAATATAATAGCAAGGGGTACAATTATGGAACCTATTCCAGATATGGAGTTGTATGAACCATCTGTTATACGGGCATTTTCCCCTTCAATACAAGAAAAATAGGTTAGGAATTATTTAAAGAGTTTGTTATGGGTCTGTTAATTTTAGAATTTATAATCCAAGTATTCGGAGTGGAAATAGGATGAAGATGAGTAATACCTGATTTTACCATATTTGATGTGCCAATAGTTGATGAACAGTTAAGTTGAGTCAGAAGACGTTTCAGGTTTTGATCTCTTATGTTGAAAAGGCTCCAACAGATGGTGAGTGAAGTGTTTCCAGACTTCAACAAAATTTGCTTGAACTCTCATGGTTCCACTTCTCCTTCCCCTATGACCTCTACTTGGTCTTTTATGCAACTTCCAACAAGTTTTCTAAGTGTGTTTTGACTTGCCACAATAATCACACTTCCGTATATCTTTGGATTGGTAAGACTAAACAACTAATCTAGTCTTCTCAACTGGTGCAATATGAAATATGGTTTTTCTTCTACTTTTTTCTTACTGGACATAAGTATAAGTTTGTTTTAATGAGAGAAGATGATCCTTACCAAGTATTTGAACTTATATTTGATCATATTCGGTGTTCAGACCAATTAAAAAATTATAAATCCGCTATTTTTCTATCAATTTATAAAATTTGACTGCATCTGTAGGACAATTTATCTGAAAGTCTCGATAATAATTTAACTTCTGTCATAATCCACCAAGTTTAGAAAAATATTGAGAAATAGTCATCTCTCCTTATTTTGTATCATGAATTTTATTTTAGAGTTCATATATTTGAGCATCATTATCTACTTGTGAATATGTAATAGATGTTGCATTCCATATTTTTTTAGCAGTATTAAGCAACAAATATATTCTAATAATGTGAGATTGTATGGAATTGGTGAGTCATGACATTACTAAAAAGCTCTCAGAGCCCTATTTATTACATTCTAAACTACCAACATCTGGCTTTTTCACATCGTCAGTAATATAACTTTGCAATCTTTTAGATTTGATGAATAATAAATAAAATATCGAATAAGTAAAATAATTAGTTTAATCAAACTTTACGAGACTAATCTGTAATGAAGAGTTACCGAAACTAATAAGACTCACCTTTTTTGTTTTTGTCATTTTAGAGTGTTAAAGACAAAAAGAAAAATACTCAGTAATGAAAAACAAACCCCCTAATCTGCACCAAAAGAGAAAAAGGATAAAAAACCGGAATCAGATCTGGCTCAGCTCTGTTCGGTAGCGGCTTAGATGTGGACGACTTGGCTTAGGCGTGGACAGACCGGGTCTAAGTGGTCCAGTGTGCAGAATGGCCAAACTGGACGTCTCCGTGCGCGGAAAACAGGAATGGCACAGCGGAGGAGAACTGTCCGGTCAATGCAGCGTGATTTAGTGTGCGACCGGAGCAGCGTGGCGTGTGGGAGGAGTAGTCGAGCCGTCTCCAGACTCATCGTTATTGCTTCCTTTAGTTTGTTGAATGCCCCTACAGCTTTCTCATTCCGTTAAAGCATTTTTCTTCAACATATTCTTTAGGAACTTACTTATCATTCCATAATTCCTAATAAATTTCCGATAATACCCTGTTAAGCCCAAAAATCTCGCAATGCTTTCACTGACTTTGGTTGTGGCCAAGTCACAACTACTTCAATATTCCTCAGGTCTGTCCTAACTCCTTGGAAGCAAATCAAATTGCCTACATATTCAATCTCACTTTACATGAAGGAACATATTGATTTCTTTGCAAACAACTTGTTTCATCTCAACACCGTTGTCACCTCCTCCAACTGCTCACAATGCTGTTTTCTTGTCGCACTGTAAATTAGAATGTTATTAAAAATACTAATCCGATGTTTCATAGATGTTCTTAAAAGATATGGTTCATTAATGCTTGAAAAATTGCCAGAGTATTATAACTTGAAAAACATCACCTTAAATTCATAACGGCCACGATGCATTGTAAAAGCAGTCTTGTGGATGCTTCCCTCTTTAACCCGTATTTGATGATAACCGGCCCTTAAATCAATCTTGGAAAATACAAAAGCTCCACTCGATTCATCTAATACGTCATCAATGATTAGAAATGGAAACTTGTCTTTTACTGTGATTGAATTGAATTCAAAATAGTTCACACAAAACCTTCAAGTGTCGTCCTTCTTCTTGACCAGTAACACTGGGATGCAAAGGGGCTCTTGCTTGGTCAAATAATCTAATGTTTCAGCATTTTAGTCACCTGTTGCTCTATCTCTCATTTCTAGAGATAAACATATTTATAGGGCTGAATATTAACTGGAGGGCTGCTTTTTGTCAATGGAATTGCATGATCAAAGGCCCTGCTGGATGGCAATCCTCCTGGTTCCTGGAATTCATCCTGGAACTTCTCTAGAATATGGAGATCTGATTTGATTTAAGCTGTTGTAGTTTGTTTTCTATTTTGGTTCTTTGTTATACCCATGTACATGCTCATTCTCTTTGTAAAAAATTCAGTTTCTCTCTAAATTCCACATATATGATAAGGAAAATAGTTGCAATAATAACAAACTATATGTAATCTACCATAAAGGGCTGAGAAATTGAAATGCAGAGTTTATTTTTCCTTTTCATTTCCCCACCTAGTTTTAGTTGTTATGGTTTTGAAAGACCTTGAACTAATGGTTATGATTTTGAAAGATCAGGGGATAATCTATATATTCATTGAGCTCACTTATTGATCCCTTTTGTAGGAAATTCTCCTGTAGTGATAGCACGCGGTGGGTTTTCAGGACTGTTTCCGGATTCTAGTAATGCAGCTTATAATCTGGCGCTGTTGACTAGTGTGCCAGATGTTATCCTATGGTGTGACGTGCAATTAACAAAAGATGCAGCTGGAATTTGCTTCCCTGATCTAAAGCTGAATAATGCTTCTGATATTTCAGGCATTTTTAAGAATCAGCAGAAGACTTACAATGTCAATGGGGTCTCCACCCAAGGATGGTTTTCTGTGGATTTTACCCTTGAGGACCTCTCTAATGTTACCTGTAAGTTTTTAATTGGTCTATTTGAGTTCCAATTTTTTGTTGTGATCAGGTTGAGGAAATTAGATAAGAGACAAATAGTTTTGGCACTTTGGTTCCATATTTAGTTCATCTTGTAAGGCTGAGGAATTTTTAATGATTTTCCTTTCTAACTTTTCTAACTGCTTAATTTTCCTTGTCTAAAGGATGCCTTGCATATTGCTGATGTGTTGTTCTTTTCAAAAAAGTTTCTTCTTATAGGGCATATTAACTTGGACTGTCACTGCTTATGGAATTGACTTTTCACTTTTTCATTGGGATATGCCTGCATTAGTCATCTAAACAACATAAGTAAGCTCAGAATGTTGTTTAGCCATTTTGATTAATTACATTCTGGAGTTTTGAGATGTTTTCAGTCCTTCAGTAGTTATAAAGCTTGCTGCTTGGTACTGTGGAATTGTCTATCCGCTTGCTGAAAGTCATCATCTAAGTGTGACATATTTTCTCACACATCTATCTTACCTGGACAGTAACTCAAGGAGTCTTCTCACGCACTGATAAGTTTGATGGCAATCTATTCCAAATTATGACTGTTAAGGATGTGTTTAGCCAATTCAAACCAACAGGTTTTTGGTTAAATATTCAAGTAAGTGATTTTACAAACACCTCAATGCATTAGATTTCTTATTTATTTTTTTGTTGTTTTCATTTCCTATCTTTCTATTGTCTTTATGCTGCAAATATTGAGGATCACCCCTTCTGTTTTCTACCTTGTGTTTTCATTTGAAACAGCATGATGCATTCTACGCGCAGCACAATTTGAGCATGAGAAGCTTTGTACTTTCTGTTTCTAAAAGTGTAATTGTTAACTACATCTCATCCCCAGAATTGAGTCTCTTGAGGGGCCTTGCATCACACATCAATAGAATGACAAAACTCATCTTCCGGTTTCTTGGGCAAAACGAGATTGAGCCTTCAACCAATCAGACCTACATATCTCTTCTGAAGAACCTCACTTTTATCAAGACATTTGCCTCAGGAATCCTTGTTCCAAAGTCGTATATATTGCCCGTGGATGCAAGTTCTTACCTGTTAGGTCCTACGTCCCTTGTCCAAGATGCTCATAAAGAAGGGTTAGAAGTTTTTGCTTCGGGTTTTGCTAATGATGTTCCATTTAGCTACAACTACAGCTATGATCCAGTTACAGAGTCATTGTCTTTCATTGACAATGGAGAATTCTCTGTTGACGGTCTGTTGTCTGATTTCCCTATATCTCAATCTGCGGCCATTGGTAAGTTTTTTCTTCTCAGTTCTTCCTCACATAATGAGCATTGTGTATATCTTTCGTTATTGGTTAGTTCTTATATATGTGCTGAACTAATGTCTGTTCCATAGTGAAAGCTTCTGTTCATACTTCTAAAACACAATTAAAAGTTAATGCTCCACTCTTTTGGTTCCCAATCAAGGGTGCACCGTTGCACTGTTAACTCCCCATTGTCTTCCAGCAAAGAAAACTCTTCTTTGTCTTGATGTGAAGCACTAAACCTAAGAATTTGACTCTTGCTTGGCGGGGGTCATTTTTTATTGGGGAAGAAGGCCAGAAAACCCTCTATTCTCTCTCTCTCTCTCTCTCTCTCTCTCCCCCTCCTCCTCCCTCCCTCTCCCTCTCCCTTCCCCCCTCTCTCTCTCTCGGTTTTCAAAGACATTTATTCCTATCTGAACCCTGTTGATGACTCAAAACTCAGAAATTGACGCTGAACCTTCAAAATAGAGGTGTTTGAGATAATAGATTATGCACCTTCTGTCAAGCTGTTATGGTAATAAGTTACTGCATTTGTCAAGAAGCTTTCTTCTTGTTTCTTTCTATTTGTTAACAGCTACAAATTATTTGTTCCATCAGTTCTGCATCTTTTACACAACAACTTATCTTTTTCCAGAAAATAATTTTTTCATTGTACTATGCTAAACAAACATAAGTTTTCATTGACTATAAATTATGTTTTACCAGACTTATCGTTCCCTTGAGATGCTGACTTATTCTTTCTACTTCAGGTTGCTTTTCTCATCTGGAGAAAAATGCATCAAAACAAGGTCTGAAGCTACTTAGAATTGGTTATAATATTGTATATTAGGATGATTAAGTAATTCAACATTAATTTCAACTGATTTTGTTGTTGTGCTCATTTTAAAGTGGATCTGTTGGTTATTTCCAAAAATGGAGCAAGTGGAGACTACCCTGGCTGTACGGACTTGGCATACCACAAAGCTGTCACAGACGGTGTCGATATTCTTGATTGTTCAGTTCAGATGTCCAAGGATGGGATTCCATTTTGCTTAAGCTCCATAAATCTCATGGATAGCACAACAGTTGCCGAATCCAGTTTCAGTAATCTCATGCAAACTATTCCAGAAATTAAGTCAGGCAGTGGAATATATACCTTTAGCCTGATGTGGTCTGATATCCAGAAGTTAAAGCGTAAGTTGATTTTTTCTCCTCCGGATTTTTCTTCCTATTGAACAGGTGTGAAGAAATATTCAAGAGTGGTTTTATTAATCACATAAATATGTTATCTATAACCTTGCATTAGGGTATAGTAATTTAATCTTACAAGGATTTATGTTCTATAACCCTAACAGAAAAACAAGAATAAAAATATACACAAATAATATGACAAATAAATTTCATGATAACAGATTAAATAGAAGAATGTGTCTATCTTTTTACTCCCCCAGAAGTTGTGCAAGGTAACACGTAGAGATTGGATTGCAACTGATTGAAACTTGTAGAAGAAATTCCACAGGTGAAAATGTCAGCTAGATGATATTGACTGACAATATATCATACTATTAATTTGTCTTGCTTGTACTTTTTCTCAAATAAAGTGAATATCCAGTTCAACATATTTAGAACAAGCATGATTGACTAATTAGAACTCGTATGAGTAGTGCTGATATCATTACCAAACAAGATAGATCTTTTGAATGAAGTAAACTAAATCTCCTAGAGCGTGTCCTCTAATCAGCATAAGTGAGAAACTGCCACAACAACATGATATTCAACATCAGCAGTGGAGGGAGAAGTTGTAGTTTGCTTCTTGGAACACTAAGAGATCAAATTGGTACCAAGAAAAATATAATTCCCGGTGGTAGACCTATAGGGGTCAGGGCATTGTGTTCAATTTACATCCATGTATCCTACTAAATGCATAGGGGAATCAAAGTGAATTTCAAGGCCATAATGTAGAGTACTTTGTATGTAGCATGTTTTACAGCCTGAAAATGGTCCTCACAAGGTTCATGCATGTGCTGGCAAACTTGATTGCTAGCAGAGAAAATCTTACCAATACTACAATATGAAGTAACATATGAAAGTAGGAAACTAGAGCTTACCAATCTGATGACGGGACTGCGAATGATTAGCTAGGGGCTAATAGCTGTCCTAACCATGTTGACGTAATAAATCCATAGTATATACATGCTTTTGTCCATAAAGAGGCTGTCAACACCCTCAGTCAAGGTGGCTGAACTGAAAGAAGAAGAAGAAGAGACTGTAATAAGTTACTAGAAAAAGCAGTTATAATAAAATAATCAATGTGGAATTGTGCAGTCATTATGAGTGCAGTGGCAGCCGCTGAATGAGATGGCGATGACCTCTTCTGTTTAGGGTTTAATTAGGTCAAACTTGAACACTAAATATTCACAAAAATACCCTTTTGCCTCTTTCCCTTGTATCCTGACAGAGGCCTTCCATATCTTGAGAAACTTGAATATCTAATAAAATATTGCAGAGTAGTCATATCATTCATGAAAACCTCTTTTCAAGTTGGACAAGAAGAGACTGTAATAAGTTACTAGAAAAAGCAGTTATAATAAAATCATCAATGTAAAATACGATTATAACTATATGAGAATCATGCTTGTAGATGTAGATAAACATAAGCATACTTGCATGATTTGAGGTGAAACCTTAGAGTTAAAAAAAAAGATGTAAAATGTTGAAAATAAGCTCAAGAAGTTTGTTTAAGACCATAAATAGTCTTGTTTAGTTAACAAACATGTGAAACATAATCAGAATTCTCTAATCTTTGAGACTGCTTCAATTAACTTCTTTTTAAGAATACCATGGGAAAAATTTTCTTGACATCTAGTTGATGAATTGGCTAGTGATTCATTAATACAATTTCTCCCACTTTTATTTAAAAAAGAAGTGAATTCGCTAGTGATGAGATGTGACAATAGATAAAACAATTATGAATTGTAGATGACTTGATGACTGGATTGTAAGTTTGATCATAATCTTTTTTTCATCACAATCAATACTAGGTTGTTGTTAAAAACCTTGAGCAACCAATCAAGCTTTACAATACTCTGAGAATCATTACTTTCTATGTGACCTTACAGACCCAACAAAATCTAACAAGATTAGCATCAGTGTTAGAGCAACAAGTTATCTGTTATGTTCCCTAGTTAAGGATCGAGTCATTGGACAATTAATAATAAAATCGTCTTCTAACTTTTCTTATTATGATAGCGACCTATTTTGTGAAAATAGATTATACTTCATCAAAAGAGAGCTGCTAACTTGAATCTCGTTAGAGAGAGTTTTAATCTCGTAATTTGAGATAAATTCTGATTTATTTTTATTAATAACAAACATACCCTTTTAAATAGAGGTTACAACGCTTATTTATGAATATTGTCGAAATATTGTTTATTTCTTGTGTAAATTATGGATATATAATGAGGGTATATATACAAGTTGAGTTCCTAAATTGTAGTCGCAAATTATACAGTCAATATGTCTAGATATTAAAGAAGAAAACAATAACTAATTAAGAGATATTCTCTCTTTCTTAAACTCAGAAACTGATCCTAATTGAATCCCACTAATCTTGGCATTTAATTGTAATATCATATTTTCATAATCTGAATTCCACTAATCTTGGCGCTTAATCATAATCTCATATTTCCACACTCCCCCTCAAGTTGGGTGGTAGATGTCTAGCATTCCCAACTTGCTCTTCATAGTCTCGTAGTTTGCTTTTGGAAGTGCATTTGTCAAAAAATCTATTGTTTGGCGGTTAGATGGAGTATACACGAGTTTGACTGTTCCTCCTTCAATCTTCTCTTTGATGAAGTGGTGGTCTATTTTCACGTTCTTTGTTTGATCGTGTAGAACATGATTCTTTGCAATACTTATGGCAGTCTTGTTATCACATAAAACTGTCATAGTGGGATTTAATATAATGCCAAGTTCTTTGAGTATTATTTGGAGCCATATTCGTTTACATATTCCATGAGTCATTGCCCTGAATTTTGCCTCTGCACTACTTCTTGCCACTACGAACTGTTTTTTGCTTCTCCAAGTTACCAAGTTCCCCCACACATAAGAACAATACCCGGTAGTTGATCTTCGATCAGTTAAGATCTTGCCCAATCCGCATCAGTGAATACCTCAATTTCCCTACTTAAGGTTTCTTAAAGTAAAACCCTCTATCCGGGTTTTTTTTGAGATATGTAAAATTCTGTATACAGCCTTCATGTATCTCTCAGTTGGGTTGTTCATATAGCGACTTACCATGCTAACAGAAAAACCAATATCAGGTCTTGTGTGAGTTAAGTAGACCAATTTTTTCACTAATCTTTGGTACCTGTCTTTATCAGTTAGAAGACTTTCAGTATCTTCATTAATCTTGCCCATAGGGTCCATAGACGTGTCTACTAGCTTATATCCTAGCATTTCAGTTTCTTGGAGCAGATCAAGGACATATTTCCTTTGTGTGACCACAATTCCCTCTTTGGTTCGGCCAACTTCTATGTAGAGAAAGTATCTGAGTTATCTAAAGCCTATGATTTCAAATTCTCTTGTTAGTAGTTTCTTGAGACTCTATATCCCTTCTTCATCGTTTTCTTTGATTATAATATCATCAAAATAAATAATAAATAAAATTAATTTACTTTTCTTGAAATTCTTTATAAACAGTGTGTGATCTGCTTGGCATTGCGCAAATCTATGCTTTTTTACAACTTTGGTTAGTCGATCAAATCAGGCCCTAGGTGACTGTTTTAGGCCGTCTATAGACTTTCTCAACTTGCACACTTTTCCTGCATTTTCTAGTGTTTCCATACCCGGTGGAATCTTCATGTAGACTTCTTCTTCTAGTTCTTCGTTTAGGAATGCATTTTTGACATCAGTTGGTGTAGATTCCAATTCAACTTTACTGCCACTGATAGTAACACTTTGATGGAGTTGAGTTTTACTACTGGTACAAATGTTTCTCATAATCAATTCCATATGATTGAGTGAATCCCTTAGCTACTAGTCGTGCCTTATATCTGTTTATGCTTTCATTTGGATTATGTTTATGGTGAATATCCATTTGCATCCAATGGGCCTCTTATCCTTTAGTAGTTCCGAGAATTCCCATGTCTCATTTTTCTCCAAGGCTTGTATTTCTTCCTGAACAGCAGATTTCCATTCAGGTTGCTGAAGTGCTTTTTGGATGTTGGATGGGATACGATCGTCTTCGAGGGAAGTAATGAATGTCGGAAAATTTTGTAAAAGTTTTTCATAATACACATGATTAGTGATTGGATGCGTAGTACAAGATCTTACCTCTTTCCTTAAAGCAATAAGTTGATTAAGATCATCTGAATCATTACTAGAGTCTAGATCATGAATCATGTTATCTTGTTGTGAGTCTAGTTTGCTTGAATCTCGATCTAATTCTTGGTTTTGCTCAGGTGGTGTGTTGTCCTCTTGAGGAGGTTTCTCGGTCTTTCCTCTATGTTTTCTCCTTGAATAGATCATTACCTCTTTACTGTCTTGTGTAGTTGATTTGGGAGTGATTGGAGGGAAATTGTTTAGAGGATTTTTAATGATAGAAAGAGTAATAGTTGTTTGTGGAGGCAGTGATAAGCTTGAAGGAGAGGTGGTGTTGGTTTCAACTTCCCAAAAATTGAATTCATCTGTGGACCAGTTCTCCTCCTGAATTGCTTTTTGGGATAGAAGGGTTGATTTTCGAAGAAGGTGACATCCATGGAGGTGTAAAATTTCTTAGTTGTAGGAGATTAGTATTTGTATTCTTTTTTGTTTGATGAGTAACCTAGAAAGAGCATTTGGTAGCTTTTGGATCGTACTACATTGGGACTTATGGATATGAACAAATGCAGTACACCCGAATATCTTGACTGGAATAGATGAGATTATTCGAATAAATGGATATGTAGTGAGAAAGACTTGAGATGAGGTTTTGAATTTGAGGATTTTAGAGAGCATTCGGTTGATCAAATAGGTTGCTATAAGTACTGCTTCACTCCAAAATTATTTTGACACGTTTAAAGCTATCATGAGTGATCTTCTCACGTCCATTAAATGTCTATTTTTCCTTTATGCAACTCCATTCTGCTGTGGAATATCAATGCACGAGATTTGATGTATGATACCATTTTCCAATATATATGACCCGAGCATGTGGTGATAGTATTCTCGAGTATTGTCTGTTCGAAGGACTTGAATTTTTGTCTGGAATTACGTCTGAATTATCTTGTTAAAGTTTTCAAATACTTCCTTTACTTCTGATTTCTTTTTCATGAGGAATACCCAAGTCATTTGTGTATGGTCATCAATGAAGGTGACAAACCATATACAAGTGATAATGTTGTTGATTTTGGAGGCTCCCCAAACATCACTATGTACCAAGGAAAATGGATGAGATGGTTTGTAAGGTTGGATGAAATAGGAATTGCGAGTGTGTTTGGACAACTGACATATTTCGCATTGAAATTTTATGGAACTTTTATTTAATAATGATGAATATAATTTTTCGAAATACAAGAAGCTTGAGTGGCTTAATCGATAGTGTCATAACATAACAGCAATATCTGGTTGGGTACTAAGGCTGTCAACTACACAAGCAGTCTTCATTGGTTGTTTTTGAATCTTCTCAGCTCTTAACAGATAAAGTCCAGCACACACCTTAGCATTATCAATCCTCTTCCCAGAGTTCAGGTCTTGAAATTCACATGTGGATGAAATTTAGCAACACAATTAAGATCTTGCGTTAGTCTATTTATAGGTAACAAGTTGCAATCCAATTTTGGTACATAGAGTACAGAGTTAAGGGTAATATCTTTGAAAATAATAATAGAATTTGTACCACATTCAAGGGTTCAATCGGCAATTCGAACAGAGGAAATATTATGGCAGGGTGTATATTCATGAAAAACCATGAGATTTCTAGTCATGTGATCTGATGCTCTAGAATTCACTATCCATGTAATGTGATTTTCCTGTCTAATGTTGAGGGTATGAGAAAAAATATTTTTTTGACTACATATGCAGTACCACTGGTTGCTTCGGAGGATTGTTGAGTCTGTTGGAGCATTTTTTGCAGCGCCTCTAGTTGTTCTTTGCTAAATGGACTAGAATTGTGCTTACTGCAGTACCACTTGAGCTCGTGTTAGGTTTGTCTTCTTCAGCTATAGCGGTGTAGCTTCGACCTCCTTGGTTTTCCATCAACAGGTTTACCGTGTAGATGCTAGCAAAGTCTCCTTTGTGTTTCCAGGTTTCTTGCAATAGTCGCATCATGGACAATTCTTCTTTATTTGATTGTTGTTATTGTTGAAATGAGTTCCTTGTGCAGTTACAGCTGAGTTATCCAAATTTTTTGAAGAGTTTTATATTCCCAAGATGACTTTTTGTCTACTTTCTTCTCTGTGAATTTCAGAAAACACTTCTCTAACACTAGGTAATGGTTTAATGCTTAATACTCTTCCATGTATCTCTTCCAGATTCTTATTGAGGCCAAGTGAGAACTTGTAGATGCATTCTTTCTCAACGATTTTGTACAGGAGTTGATCTTTGGAACACAATGCATGAAGTTTTCTCCTATGTGATTGGTCATAGAATTAATTAACTAAGACATCACCGTACTGTTTTCGAGTTTTCAGGTTTAGTGTCCTAGATTATCTTCCTTCAGCTGAGCAGCGGCTCCCGTAAGGTACTCTTCTTTACCTTTCCCGCATATGAATAACCGGACAGACTGTACCCATTGAACAAAATTCTGCCTATTAAGTTTACTGGTTATGGGAAGAATGATATCTTCTGTGACACTGATACTGCCGAAGTGGACTGCTTCAGGTCTGGAGGTTCCCTCCGAGATTGAACCTTTTGTTCTGCTTGCTATGAATCATTGAAAGTTTCTTCCCTTCCTCCTTTTTTTTCCAATGGTTTAGATTTATAGTTTTGATACCATTTAGAAATATTGTTTTTTTTCTTGTGTAAATTCTGGATACAGAATGAGGGTATATATATAACTTAAATTCCTAAATTGTAGTCGCAAATCATGCAGTCAATATCTCTCGATACTAAAGAAGGAAACAACAACTAATCAAGAGATATTCTCTCTTCCTTCAAATTAGAAACTGATCTTAACTGAATTCCACTCATCTTGGTATTTAATCGTAATATCATATTTTCATAATCTGAATCCTACTAATCTTAGCACTTAATCATAATGCCATATTTCCACAAATTTTAATCTAATTAGGAGTTTAAGTCTAATTATGATTATGTGCCAAGATTAGTAGACCCATATTTCCACAAATTTTAATATAATTAGGAGTTTAAGTCTAATTAAAAATACTCTCCTAAACTATTAGAAATCTTATACTATTTAAAAATCAAATATTAATGGGAAATCATATAGTATTTAGGAATTTAATATTAGTTAGGATCTTATGTTTACTATTTAAAAATCTAATTTTAATGGGAAATCATATATTATTTAGAAATTTAATACTAATTATTGAACTTCAATATCTTATTTAGTTGCTATCTTGTCTGTTGCCATGCCTTCCACATTCATGTCCTTCAAATATGCCCATAACACTATCACATGTCATAAACATGAAGAGCATCAAATTCATTTGACATCCATCTCCTTTGGGGAACTTAACAGCCTGCAATAGAATTTAGGTTCTTTAGGCAAAGCAAAGAAGAAAATAGCAGTGGCTAGAAAACATCCTCAAGTTTAAGCTAGACGACTCATGCAACCTGGAGTCAGCATTGGATGAGAGTGGGAAATAGAAGGATCCAAAGAAATAGGCTTGAAAGCACTAGGGGGCACAACAGTGGTGGTGGATGGTATGCCTGGATTCTAGTGGAATCAGTTGAGGACTATGCTTTCAGATTTAAAATAAGTGGATAAAAGTGTTAGGTTTCCAAAGATTTAAGGAGTGGTGGAAAAAGATGATTGTGGAGGGTCACACTAGTTATGGGTTGCTGAAAGATAGCATTGGTCAAAAGCAAAGATCAAACAATAGAACAAAGGATGAATTTGAGGCAGAGGGGCAGAGAAGAAATCCTGTTTGGTGAATTGAAAAGACTTGATAAATTGGAAGGAGAGAGAAGGTTCTCAACTGAGGAGACAAAAAATAGAGAAAATTCGGCTTGGTGTAGTAAATATACTTTTCATAAAGGAGATTGCATGAACACCGAAATCAAGAGCTATATGGATAAAGAAAGGGAATAAAAGCACAAAATTTTTCCACAGCACTATGAATTATCATAGACGATGCCAAGGAACTGGAGGTGAATGACCATGTTGTGAAAGGTAATGAAGATTTGAGTGAGAAAGTAAAAAGTTATCTGGAGGAGTTTGTACACTGTAGATGTCTCTTGTGAACAGGTATGAGATAATATTCATGGTTGATTTTATCAATCACATGAATGTATTATTATTTATAACCTTACAAGTTATTAGGATGTAGAACTTTAATCTTAGAAGTCATTAGGTTGTAGAACCCTAGTAATACAAAAGTGCTGTCTGAGCTTTGACAACTCTGATACTCGTAGTCAGAGGTCTGACATCAACAGAGTGAGCGAACGATTGAACTAGGAAACCATAGTAGGAAAAATTCTCAGAAAAGATCGGAGGAGTCGCAAGCAGTCCCACTTAAAATCCAGTTTTCTTATACTGAATTTAACCTTGAACCATAATTTATTAATTTAGTATATCACTACAACTATTTTCTAATAATATCTATTAAATAGACAATAGGGTAAGGAGAACAAAGAAATTTTAACGAGGTTTGACTAACTTAGCCTCCATCTGTAGGCACTACCAGAATAACTATTATTTCTTCAAGACTGTAGTACAAAGAGAAAGAAGAGACAACAAAACATATAGGAGTAAATGCTTTACCCTTTTATAGCAACAAGGGGGCCTCCATCTTGTCCCACCATTAATGTGGGATAAAAAATAACAAAGTGGAAATGAGTCACTTTTACAAGTACCAGGGTAGTGATATACTCAGATTGTATGATAAATAGATCAAGTAACAGACTAAAGTAAGACCATATTTATCCCTTGACTTATTTGTGTAACAACGTGGATCGTTATCTCATATGTGTAAATCATGGGAATATAACTTGCCCTGAAAAGCATACTTTAGTGATAATCGGAGAGTGCAGGATGAAATAACTCAAGATCATACAAGAAAGGAGGAAAATTATATTTCTAGAAAAAAAAGATGTAGATAAACAAAATGGATAAATGCGTGCAAAAAGCTGCTAAGCACGACAAGCATCCATTTGAACCACATGCAACTGTAGATGAATGTGTAAGATGCTAATACTGGAAAGTGGGCCCTGTAGACTTGAATGGAACCTTCTTACGTATATATGCATAGGCAAAATAAATTGTTTGACAATTTCAAAAAAGAAACTTGTTTCCGAAGCCTTAGATAATAGATCGGTTGTACATCAAGGAGAGAGGTCCAAAAGGGGGTTAAAAAGGAGTATGGAACTAGGTTGCAAAATAATCATCCAGTAATATAAACAATATTAGAGAGAGAAGTGGATGGAGTTATGCTAGCAATTGCAGTAAGCCACCTTAGATTCAGCTAACCAGGGGTTTAGATGTAGAACACCCAAGTATTGAACAACATATACTGAATAAGATGCTAACAAATTTGAATAAACACAGAAAATAAGTAAGTTTTGGGCAATGGAGTATGAAATTTTCTCTTGTGTCAGCGGTTAAGTTTACTTTAGGGTCTTATCTTAAATACATGGATTCTGTTTTGCACTACTGCCGGCGTATTGTTTGTTAGAAATGAAAAGCAAAATGAACTGGATATTAGTTGGTAGAAGTTGTCTGTTAAGAACAATGAATTGAAGCTACTTCTTACATTTCCATTTACTCCTTGCCTACTGTGAAAGTCACTGCATTTGTCATCCTATTATGTCAATAGAATAGGTATTATAATATACTGGAACTAATGAATTTTTATCATGGAATTCATTCCCTTGTATTTACATTGCAGCAATGATATCAAACCCACATTCAAAGTTCAATTTGTACAGAAACCCGAAGAACATAAATGCTGGAAGGTTTCTGACACTGTCTGATTTTTTAGCTTTGACAAACAGCAGTAACTCTCTTTCTGGCATCCTACTCAGCATAGAGGTGAGAGTTTTTGTTCTTCTAGACTTTTCTTTCCGTGTTCTTCTAGACTTCCGTATCCTATAGCGAATCAAATAAAATTAAGAATATTTAGATGTTAGAATATCCGGACCTCTCATGCATGATTGATAGTCTTGGGAATCAAATAAAATAGTTTCTATCGGTTTGCATTGTGAAGGTCCCATTTGTCAGGAATCTCATCGTTTCTTTTGGATTAGAAAAGATGCAGCAATAGGGCTTGATGCTAGAAACTTCTGGAGATAGATTAAAAAAATTATGGTTTCTGATCAGTGAAGAAACTTTATGCATTTCTTTTACAGCATTTCTAGGGACCTTTTTGTCATACTATTCATTTTTCAACAAGAGGCAAATGGAGCTCACTTGAGTCTTTTTTTTTTATCTAATCTAAGTCATTCTTGTTTTTCAGCATGCAGTCTACCTTTCAGAGAAGGGACTGGGAGTGATTGAGGCAGTACTTGATGCCTTGAGAGAAGCTGGTTATTCTCAGACACCAAAGAAAGTTATGATCCAGTCGATAGATAGTTCTGTCCTAAAGGAATTTAAGGAGAAAAGCAAGTATCATCTAGTTTATCAAGTTGATGAAACTATTTGTGATGCTCTTGACTCGACTATCAAAAATATCAAGAAGTTTGCTGATTCTGTTGTCATAGACAAAAAGTCCGTCTTTCCTCAAAATTCATTATTCGTTGCTGGTCAAACAAAAGTTGTAGAAAGGTTGAAGTCATTTAATCTCTCTGTCTATGTACAACTCTTCAGCAACGAGTTTATTTCTCAAGCATGGGACTTCTTCTCAGACGCGACAGTGGAGATCAACTCATATGTTATGGGAGCTGGCATAAGTGGTGTCATCACTGATTTTCCCAAAACATCTGCTAGATATCTAAGTAAGTAGCTCCTTCCACAGTCTCTTTCTGATTGAAATGCTGGCAGACATAGTTCTCTTTAGGTTGCACAACCATCAAGGAGCAGCCTTTTACTTGTTTGTTTTTATCTGATTCTATTAGTATAAGTTAATACCTGATTTGACAACCATAAGCAAAATTTAGTGCATGAGAATTATGTTATCAAAATTTCTGTATTTAGCTTTGCAATTTTGAAAAATTCAAGAGGTCGTTGCTTGTTACTGAAACAGACAGAAGTTTGCAACACTCAATTGACCTTCTTATGAATCTTATGAATTTTTGCTATTCCACTCTTTTACAGCAAATAAATGTTTGAATCTGGGCAACAACACACCTCCTTGTATGGACCCTGTTCAGCCAGGCGGCCTCATACAACTTGTGCCTTTGAATTACTTACCACCAGCAGAGGCTCCAGCTGCAATACTGACAGATGCTGACATTGCGGAGTCACCATTTCCCCCTGTTGCAAAAGTAAATGGGACTACGGCGCCGCCTCCAAAACAGCCAAATACACAGCCCAGAGTTGCAGTTGGCATCTTACTCTCCAGTACGGCGCTGCTGCTTGCAAGTCTTCCGATGTTTTGATACCATTGGATCATCAATCTACCCATAATCTTGTTCTTCTTGTGTTTCTTTTGTCTTGTTGCATGGATCTTGGGTAGCTTCGAACTTTTGCTATATTGGTCACTCATGGCTTAGTCCATTTCTATTCAGCCACCGAGTAGTCATGAACTATTTTCTCTCCGAGTGTGGGTTTTCTTCATTCATCCAATGTGGTTGAGAGTAGACAAAACCATATGTAGCTGTATGTATATATTATTGAGAGGTAAATATCATGATGGATTATATTTCCCATTTGATGATTAATATACAATATGCCTTACTGTTATCTTTTGGCATTTATAATTATGTGAGAGATTTAAGCCTAGTTTCAAAGAAATAAAAGTATCAGCCATTCAGTTAAAAAAATTATTTATGAGATTTAAGTAATTAATTTTAGCATGAAGTGTGATACTTCAATTTTATTTACTTAAGAAAATGAAAGAAATAAAGAAAAAAGATCTAATAAATGTGAAATATTAAACAGAAAAGTTTTAATTTACTCATAATGCACCTTATCAATTATTTAAAAGAAAAGAGAAGGAAATAAAAATATATAAGAATTTACCAGGAAAATGTGTGGCCCATTAAATTTTGACCGTCGGATTTACGATATCAATCAGATTGCATCAAACAGAAATAGCCATTCTCACATGGGATCACTTCTCAAGTTTTAAACGAGAAGAAGTGAGAACCAACCGGAAGAAGCGGACAGTTTCTCAGTTGTTCAATTAATAATAATACTAATAATTTCGAAATGAAACTTCCATTGCCGCCTGAACCAAAACAGAGCTTCCAGAAAAAAAGTGAGGCGAAGACCGTTGCCGCCATTTCATAGCGGAAAACCTCCATGGCTGTCGATTCAGAGGTCGCTGCAACTGTTCAGGACTTTACACTCGCCGACACCGACATCAACTGGGACAGGTTCATCTCTTTCTCTCAACTCTTAAACCTCGTTAATGGAAGACACACAACAGTTTTTTGAACGCTATGCTCGATCTCTGTGTATCTCAGGCAGGACAAGACGAGGTTTCACCTGATCGGAGCTGTTCTCTTCACGGTTCAATCAGCTCTTTTACATCCAACGGCAGTCGTGAAAACCAGAATGCAAGTCGCCGATTCTGAATTCTCTCAATCAGGTTGGATATCGGTGCTTAAACATGTGGTGAAAAACGACGGCGTTCCTGGCCTTTTCAGAGGATTTGGAACTTCTGCAATCGGTTCTTTGCCCGGAAGAGCTGTGGCTTTGACGTCACTGGAGGTTTCAAAAGATTTAGTGGTGAAATACATAGATAATATGAACATTGCTGAACCGACTCGAGTAGGCATTGCGAATGGTGTCGCTGGCTTGTTGTCAAACTTAATTTCTTGCGTGTATTTTGTACCTCTGGATGTGGTAACTTTTGAAATCTGAGAAAATTTTTGGGCTGATAGGAGTAGAAAATTAATAGGTTTAGGAAATTAGGTTTTGTTTTCATTGTGTGAAATTGATAAAGAGAAAGAGCAATTGGTTAAACAGAAAGTAATTTTTCCCAGATTTGCCAGAGATTAATGGCGCAAGGGCTCCCTGGTACAACCTTGTGCAGAGGACCATTTGATGTAATGAGGAAGATGATTGAGGTCGAAGGAGTGCGAGGTTTGTATAGAGGATTTGGATTAACAGCTGTGACTCAGTCCCCTGCTTCTGCTCTCTGGTGGGGTGCCTATGCTGCTGCCCAACACCTCATTTGGAGGTGCGTTTTTTGAGTCTCTTCACCAGATCCAATCAAAATAGGGAAAAAGTAAGGAAACTGACTTAATGTCAACTGATAACATATACATTTGTCTTGTATTAGGAGTTTTGGGTATGCAGATGAAATGGAGAAGAAGCCATCTGATATGGAAATGGTGATGTTGCAGGCTACAGCAGGAATGGTGGCTGGGGCCTGTTCATCAATCATGACAACGCCTATAGATACTGTAAAAACACGTCTTCAGGTAATTTATAGAGTTCAATTTTAAATTTTGTTGGAGTTGAATTTGATATGGGTTGATTCTGCAACTGGGTGTTGGTGGAAGGTGATGGATGATGGCGGGGGTGGAAGGCCTTCGGTGGTGAAGACGGCGAGGATGCTTTTTCAGGAAGATGGATGGCGAGGGTTTTACAGAGGATTTGGGCCAAGGTTCCTCAACATGTCACTGTATGGCACAACTATGATTGTCACCTATGAACTAATAAGTATATATATCTTCTCCCCTGATCATCTTATCATTACAATTAGACTGATGGATATTAAAATTTGTGTACGATTGGAACAGAAAATTGAAGTTGAACGTTTATTGTTTATGAT